GCCATTAGAGAGGGGCAGAGGGGACCGAGGGAGGAGGACAGGGCAGGACAGGGACACAGCCACCGTGCCGACGTGGCAGACACATTTGCGCCGGTGCCGCCGCCATCCCTGCGCTGGTGCTCGCCGAGGTTGTGCCTTCCTGTTGCCACAGCACTTTCTGTTTTCTGTTAAAACAGGGCCACAGCGACGATGCAAGTATAGATCTGCAATGCCAAGAATATCTGGGAAGCCTGCCAGCAAGAAGCAGCCTTCCTGCTCGTCCTCCCGCTGTGTGCAAATTCACAGGAAACAGAATCTACAGCACATACTAATGTGGCTTAATGCGAGATCCAAGAGCCACCTCGAGATCCTGCCTGCATCCCTGTCAGCCTGGGGAAGGAGCCACATGCCAAGAACATTAAATCATTAAATAAAGGAGGAAATAAAACCCGCACAGGTGCATAAAATCCCACATAGGTGCCGCAGCTTTATGAAGTGATGCTCTGCCGTGCRAGCTCAACACGCTGCCAGCATCGGCGCCGGCATCGTCACCAGTGGGAAGGGACAAGCCCAGGTCAGGTCCTGGCACATCCCCTGCTCAAAAATGGCTTCACAGCCTCCTATGAGCACCCATGTCAAACCAGCAATGCCTACTGTTCTTTTGGGATTTATTATGGTGTGATTGTGGGAATACAAAGTTCCTCTGAAATATCCCCTTCCCATTTACAACAGGAGAGATACCCAAAGCCCTGCTGCTCCCAAACTGCTGATAACTCTTCCCTCACTTTATCTTGTCTAATCCTTAAACTCAAGCTGTGCTGAGATGAGCCAGCTTTGCACTCCACACCAGACTGGGACCGTGTACCTGGCTCTACCCATGGTGGAAATCTCCGTGTCTCTGTTTACACAGCTGTAAAATGACTGCAGAGCTCCCACAGGGGCCATAAGGCTCAGCTCTGCTTCAGGAAAGCCRGTGGAGATCCTTTGGCTCTGGCAGAGGTGGGATGCACTGTGGATTTGGTGGAAACCACTGGGATTTGGTGACACCACCACCCGATTTCAGGTGGGTGCCCAGGASACACACGGGCAGGGGGTGCCAGCCTGCCTCTTGCCCTGACTGCTCAGTCCCCTGCTCCCAGACCACTGGAAGTGGCTTTTATCACCACAAAGGAGCCCTTCAAGCTTCAGGCAATTCTCAGGCATCTCACCATACACAATAAAACCCTTTTGAGTAGCCATGAGCCAGAAATGATCGTGGAGAGGAAACAGCTGCTCTCCTGTGCTGCCTCTGATGACCCTGCCATCCAGGTGGCTGCCAGCAGCATCCTCCCAGGACACCAAGCCAAGATATGCTGCACCTCTTCCCCCCTGCTTTCCTCWCAACTGCACTGCAATTTGTGTTAACCTAGAAAGGACCCTGGAGTTTAAGGTGGCTCTTAGTGGAAGCATTTTGAGACAGCTGCTTTCTGGGGAAAGCATTCCTTAAAATACAGCTCTTGCCTTCTGCCTCACCCCCAGCTTTTGACATTTCAGAGCTCCAGTAAAACAAAATGTTTTAAAAATCTAATTTTCAGCTTCGGAGGCACAAAACCTAGAGGCAGGGCGCGGGCAGGGAGCGCTGGTTTCCAGGCAGCCGGGCAGGAGATGAAAAGTGCAGCAGTGGCTGTGTGCACGGCACCTTCCTGAGGACCAGATCCATCTCTGGAGTGGGAAMAGGCTCCTGCACACCCCACAGCACAATCTGCTGCTGCCTCAGCCCAGGAGACAAGCCCTGGGCATCAGCACAAAGGGCTGGGCGTTATTTTGCAGGCAGCACTTGTCTGCTCGCCAGCTCTTGGGGCTCTGGTGGCTTCTCCCCAGCCCCCCCAGCTCCCTCTAGGAATTTCACATGGAAGTGGCTGTCACAAGTGACAACATCAGGAGTGGATTAGCACAGGCATCCCTCCCTAAGGGCAGGATGCTCTGTTACACCTCTGAGATGGGGGAAAGCAGAGCGCTGACAGCCACGAACAGCATCAGCYGCTGGGCTCCACATTTCCAGTCTACAAAAAACATCAATGCTGGGATTCTTTTCCAGCAGATTAAAGGAATTTGGAYTGGCCATATCTGACACAGAGAGGATGTTCAGTTTTTAGATGAATTTTTTTGTTTGAGTAGGGAAAAAGGCAAGTTTGGAAGCAAAGGAGGAAAGTGATGCAGAGGCCATGGGATGGGGGCAAAAGGACCAGCAAGGTACCTGCTCCTGGGATGGAGACTAGGCTGAATTAAAGCAATTAAACCGAGGAGGTGAATGGAGCTGTAAGGCTTTTTAAGGCTTCTCTCTTAAAGCAGATGAAATAGAGTCATCTCTTGTGAAAAAAAAACACTTGACATTTCTCCAGAACAGGGTAAGATGCAAGCAGGAGTTGTCTAACCCCGGAGACAGCAAAATGACTGCAGTCTGCATCGTCCCTGGCAGTCCAACGCTGCTCTTTCCACCCYCAGTGCTGCCCTCTCCACCTCCCATTCTCACATCAGTGGCCCAAGGGGGAAAACCTTGAGGGCAGGGATGCTTTGGGAGCAAGAGCTGCTCAGCAGAAGCACAACCATCTCTGCTATGCCTTCTGGTGTGCATGTGGAGTGATGCYGTCCTGATTAAAAAAAAATCTGGCAATGTCACTGCCTGTCCCCCTGGGATGTGCATCATGGCTACAAACCAGGTGCAGCCATTAACACTGCTGTAAAATGAGCTCTTCATTCCACTCCCATCACACTGGGGAAGGCGAAATATCCCAAGCTGGCGTTTTATCTGAGGACAAAGCCCTTCAGGCCATGCTTGCTGTCCTGCCAGCAAAAAGAGAGATGGCTCAGGCAGTTGAGACACAGTGCAAGACAGCAAMAGGAGAAGAAAGGAGAGGAAGCTGAAGCTGTGGGCAAGCAGCACAATCTCCAAGTAGCCCAGGATCAGCCTGGGATGAGCAGGGCAAACTCGAGGGGCTGCAGAAATCCACCTGGGATTAGCTGGGAGTGATGGAGCCAGCAGTGAGTAYCTTTGAGAGGTCACAGAATGGGTCAGATTTCACCATTATAGAATGGTTTGGGCTGGAAAGGACCTTAAAGCACATCCAGTTCCAATTCYCTGCCATGGGCAGGGACAACCTCCACTAGACCAGGCTKCTCCAAGTCCTGTCCAGTTTAGCTYTGGACACTTCCAGAGAYRCAGSCACAGCTTCTCTGGRAAAACCTGTGCCACTGCCTTGCCATTCTTACGGGGAAGAATTCTCACACTCGAGAGGAGCTGGCAGCACCAGGATGTCCCCTCAGAAACCAAGGGTGTGTCACTGTGGTGACAGGGGGGCCTGAGCAGGACAGAGTGGGATGWCCTGTGCCAGGCATCCCTCTGGGAATATCCATGGATGGGAACACAGCACCAGCAGAGCTGCTCCGGGACCCCCAAACCCAAGGGCTTGGACACAAGCAGAGGGGCACATCTGCAGCCTGTCCCACACCCCAGAAGCTTCTGGCTGTGAGATCTGGGATRCCAAACCCCATTGCTGGGAAGCAGCACCACAGGCTCTGCATGGGCACTGCCAGCACAGGGAGTGCCAAGCTATCACTTTTCGGCTGGAAATAGCCCCGGCACGAGCCCTCCGCTGGGAAGCAGAGCACTGGAGAGGCCAGACTGCGGTTAGCTATCAAAGACAACTAAAAAAAGATATTTCACACACAGGCTTTTTTTTTTCCCTTCTCTTTTTTTTTTTTTTTTTTTTTTTTTTTTTTTTTTTTTTTTTTTTTTTTTTTTTTTTTTTTTTTTTTTTTTTTTTTTTTTTTTTTTTTTTTTTTTTTTTTTTTTCCCAAGGATTAAATCAACTCAACAGYCCCCTTTACAACTTCCCTTTTGATGTGTTCAGACTCATTAAAGTTTCATTTCTTTCTCTGTTTTCCCCGGGGGAGGAAGGGGAGAGTACACAAAAGTTTATTTCAGAAGCGGGGTCGGCAGCTGCAGCAGCAGCTGCTGTTGCTGTGGGACAAGAGGAGCCTCCACCATCCTCTGCTCCGTGCCCAAATCCCTTAGAAAAGGATATCCCCCTGCAGCCACCCCGCTGCCCTGAGCAGCCCCAGCACCACCCTGGCACGCTGCTCCASCAGGGTTTCTGCAGGATGCACACACGGGGTCACACATCATGAAGGGAACACGCCAGAGATCCAAAGCTCCTGCAAACCCTGCTGGGTTTTGGGGCTGATCCTTCAATTTTCAGATCTGACCCTGCAAGTTCTGGGGTCCCTTGCCAACCTGCCTGGTTCCCCCACTGGCAGCACCAGCCTTGCCCCCACAGCTCTGGCCACTGGCCTGGGATAATCCCCCGCACACGTCAAGGGAGCAGCAGCTCCCCCATGTTTCCTTCTTGCCTGAGCAGCTGTTGAAGTGTCTATTTTAAACCTCAGTTCCCTATTTTAAAACAGCTAATGAGCCCCCGATCTCCGCTGACAGACGCTGTCTTTACAAGGTCTGGGAGATGCCTCTCTGTTTGCTGGGCTCCTTTTCCCAAGCCCTGGATCTCAGCATGCCCAGCACGTTTCCAATCCRCACAAACATGGTAAAGAGGGAAGTTTTTAATTTAAGGGCCAACTCCCGCTCCCCTACCGTGAAATACCAGCGGWACAACCACGTGCTCCCAGACAGAGATGCATCAAGCAGCCAGGCAGAGGCTGGCATTCTGCGTGGTTTGCTGTTGCTATTTTTTTTTTATCCTCTCTGTGATTTTATCAGATTTTTTTCTTTTAAATTTCCTGACCAAGAGCAAACGAGGAGTTGGCCCAGCTGGCCACTGCCCAAAAAAAGCCACACACATGAGAAGGACTGTTCAGGATGCAGTGGGAGGGCCCTGAGCATCCCTGTGCAAGCCCAGGATCCTGAGCATCCCCTTTACAAGCTCTCAGCGATGGTGTGCACCCACCAAGGCAGAGGGAACCCCCCAGACAGGACCAGRCACAGGGGACCCCATGCACAGAATCAGATGGAAGTGACCCTGCTCACTTACCTGACCACAGGCTCAGGGATGGCCTCGGCACTTGCTGGCACCTGGACACCCTTCTCCCACTCCTGCCTCCAAGGGTCAGCCAGCACGTAGTACTCGTCAGGGCTCAGCTGGAAGGAGTCAGGGATCTTCATGGCTGTTATCAGGTCTGTCCGGAAAACCTGCACCAGAGAAAAACCCATCCTGAGTGCAGGGCTCTGCCAGAGGCTGGGGCACACACACCTGGGGAGGGTGTCCTGGGGATGCTGTCCCCAAGGGACAGCTCAGCAGGTGAGCAACACCAATGGTGTGGCTTCAGGGCCTCAATTCAGGTCCCTGCAGGGTGAGGTTTGGGCAGGAGGACACGGCCACAGGCAGGGATTCTCCTCCAGCCAGGCTATGCCAAGAGCCCGAGCCCTGCAGCTGCAACCCCTCCAAGGTCCCCCAYACTGGGCAGTCAGGAAATGCAGCCACAGGCAGTGAGCTTGGACAAGATGCAGACTGAAAATCAGTATTKAATTAAAGAAACAGGCTGCTTGATCTTTGGGGAATGATGGTTTCAGCACAGCCACAGAAACCAYTCTGAAYGCCAAGGGATGTGCAGCAACTGGGYTCCTCCACACTCAGCCTTCCTGGGGTAATCAGTGCACTTGACAAGAAGCTGTGAGAACACAGAGCCACCTCCCTGTCCCAAGCACCTTCATGTGCTCATCATGTCACCTCACCACCCTGAGCACCTTTGTGTCCCCTTCATGTCACCTCACTGCCCCAAGCACCTTCATGCCCCCATCACATCACCTCCTCATCCCTAACAGGAATAGACAAAAGCTGAAAGCAGCAAATATCCATCTAAAAGGTGATCTAGGGGCTGCTTACACATCCACAACACACAGAGATTTTTCCTGGCTCAATAAATCCCTTGTGAGATCAGCACTGGTCCCCTCCTCTAGGAAAATCCTCCCGTCCCTCAGTCAGTGAATGGGCTCATTCTCCATCTCACTCCTGGCCCTGCAGCAYCTTTTCCCAATATACAAGGATGAAAAACTCATTCTAAAAATATCCCTCACGGTAAATAAGGTTTTCCTTCCAGAGGGTTGCCTGACAGCAATGACTCGAGCAATCCTGCCTCTTGCAGCATAAAAATAAATTGTAAATGAAAATGGATGATTTCTCCTCTCTACCATCTGCTATTAGCTGGAATAATAACTGCCACTGCCAGCAATCCTGCTTGGACACCATCTCCCTCCATCCCTGCTACTTCTGCATTCCTTCCACAAGGCTGGGGTGGATCAGGTGTTTTCTTCAGAWATTGTTTAATCTTTTCACAGTCTAGTCTCCAAATCAGAATTGCTTTGTCAGGATCACAAGAAATAACGCAATACAGTTTTAAATTCTTTGATACAAAGATAACACACTTTGGGGAGTATTTGGGAACCCAAATCGGCTGAGATGCAGGAAACTAGACATTAACTAAGACCACTGAGACCAGTATTTAGGTCAGTTTGTTTAATCCTCAGAGTCTCAGCTGCTAACCCAATTAGAGTTAAATACAATATATAAACAACCTTTGCTATGTTGGGACCTCTGAATTTTACTGGTGCTTTCCTCCTGATGCAGCTGYTTGGAGACATTTTTGACTCTGTCTATGCAAACCTGATTTGAGCTGGTCAGACAGAGTCTTGGCACATCCTTCAGCAAACATCATTAACAGCCTATATGCCACAGTCAGCTCAGTTTGGGAAAGATCAGGGTCCTTTAAGACTCTGAGTGCTACAAACACATGGTTACAGACACCACAGTAACCTTTTAACACGCTGCCAGTGTGAGAAATTTTAAGAAAGTATGATGACAGGCATTAATTAAACATGAGAAGGGCTATGTGAGATATCAYATCCTTCCAGCACTGCGGGTCTGTGCATCCAAGCAAGCACAGAAATCCCACTGTAGTGTGTTTGCTAAAATAGAGGGTAGAAATGCACCCTGTTCCTGAYAGCCTGGGTCAACAACATCTCCATAACCCAGTTTCAGTGCCCTGCCCCAGKGAGGAGGGTGTGAACCTCAGTAATCCCTCCCTGCTCAGAGCTCTCAGCTCTGGTGGATGAGACACTCCCCTGTGCCTGGACCACACAGGGCTGAGGCCACCACGAGGGTCAGTGCCACCTCTCTGCTCCAGCCACCAGCACCATCAAGCTGCTGAACCACCAAATCATTCAGGAAAAGCCCTACAGGATCATGAAATCCAAYTGTCAACCCAGCACTGCCAAGCCMAGCACTAAACCATGYCCCCARGAGCCACCTCCACCTCCTTTAACTSCCTCCAGGGATGGCGATTCCACCACTGCCCTGGGCAGCCTCTGCYACTGCTTAACCACCCTTTCAGTGAAAAAACTTTCCTTATGTTCAATCTAAACCTCCCCTGGCTGCTGTACAGTACCGTTATAGAAAACACTGCTTTGGAGGCGCATGCCCTTGGGAATTGTGGGCAAAGCCAAGTAGGAATGATTTCCAAAGGTGSAGGGCACCCAACAGCTTTTCTAAACGACAGGACTGGACCCTGCTGACGTGTGAGTGCCCTCCTTATCCCTCRCTGCCAGCTCAGGACACCAGCTCAYTGCCTACTGAGGACACCTCTCCTGACGCTGTGGGATGCAGGAGCATTGCACCCCTCTTCCATGCAGTCAAACACACTCAATTTCCCCAGGAAGCTGCTCAGGGCAGGGCTGGCAGTGCAGGGCAGGATGGCAGCGTGCTCCTGCTCCCACCCCAGTGCACACCCCGGGCAGTCAGCTCCAGAGCAGTGGAGAGCATGGGACCACCCTTTCCAGGACAATGAACCATTGGGAGGGTCCAGCCACATCATTACCCTGCCCTGAGGTCTCCCCACAGCAGCTGTATCCTTTCCAGAGCCTCAACCCAAGCAAAGATTCTCATTTTCTTTTGCTAGCTCAGCACCAGGTGACAGCAGTGAGGTGACAGACCATGTCCCTTGGGCACCCACGGCCCAACGTCAAAACCCTGGCCCATCACCCTCCTCCTACTGATGAAGAGGGAGACAGAGGAGCCTGCACCATGACAGGACAATCCCTCGGTGTCATCTCTCCCCTCTGCAGATCCCAGGCTCGTGTTTTCCTGCATTAAGTCTTCCCCAAATTCATCCCTTCTGGCTCTCCAGCTCGCATCAGCATAAGAGCTTAGTTTTAATTTTAAGCCAAATAAGCACGATTGTATCTATTTCCCTGAAGATAAGGCGCACTGCAGGCTGGATTTGCAATCTCACTACTTCATTTATTTAGTCCTTCTTGGAAAACAGATAAGCTCACCCATCCGACGGCAGCACGCGCGCCCGCACTTTATCACAGCGACGCCTCTGTCTTTTCATGAAGAACTGGATATGCTCAAATTATTAACTATCAAAGCAGAACACTTTAGAAATGATAGAACAGCACAGAAATTGTAAAGGAAAGCAGATCAGTTGTCTGGAAATCTCCCAACAGCTAATACGCTCAAATTGTAATCTAAATGTCTTTTTGTTTTGAATTGTCTGGGATTAGGGTTGGGAAAAGACTCAATTATTCTACTCAAACTCTTCTGAATTATTTATGAAAACCAAATAAAGGATAAATTGGGCACTGATGAACCGAGGACCTGGCGATGAAGAGAAAGTTGGGTACCAGAAAACAAGCAATTTTCCCTCAATAGCAGTGTTTACTGTTTCTCCCCGGCCGTGGGAGCTGACAAATTGTCTGCTGCCCTGCACCCACTCCTTCCCCACCAGCACAGCCCTGGCCAGGCTCTGTCCCTCCCTTCCAGCCCAGAGTGGGATTTGGGTTATTGTCTATCGATCTGCCAGCAGTGGCAAAGGCCAAACCAAGATGTTCCTTTATTGCCTCTGCTTGCTCAGGAAGCTCTCAGAGGTTTAGAGATGCTCAGARTTGTATCACACCAATGCCCAGGGCCAGCCTCTCCCTTTGCTACTGTCAGCTTTAAAGGTGGGCAAAAACACATGATATTCCAAAATCCCAAGATATTTTTGCCTTCATATTTCCAAAAGAGATGGCTATGGAGTCCAGTTCAATGTGGTTGTGCTGGCCTCAGACCCCACGCAAAGAAGGGTGGAGAAAACCTTCCTCTCTCTTGTCTTCCAGGCCAGGCAAGCCTGTCTGACCCATCTCTACTGCTTCCTCATCCTTTCAGCCTACCAGTTTGTGGTTCTGGACTGACTGCCTCACCAGCAGAGCCAGTCCTGGCAGTCCARTAACATGAGAAATCACTGGGACACCATAAACATGGTGTTCCCCACCAAAATACATCAGTATTTTTGTTATTTCTGTGATTTGCTATGGGGAAGCAAAAGCTGTATTGATTTTACTTCTCAAAAGTAAAAAAAAAAAACCCTGAGCTAATCCAATTAACACATCCCTGGTTTTCACATCCTAATGCTTCACTTGGATCCAGCCTGGCACTGGAAGGATGCTCCTGTGGGTACAGCAGAAAACCTGCAAGGCAGGGGTTGGATTTRGCTTCTCCTTGAGCCCTGGTACCTCCTGCATCCACCTGGGTGAGGATCTGCTGCTTCTCCCACTGGACACAGCCCTGCAGCCTCTCCCTGTGCCCTGTGACAGCTGTGAGACATCTCTGGGAGCYCTCCCTGGACCAGCAGCAATTTGTCCAACACTTGGACAACCTCAGAAACAGCTGTCATTGTGCCGTGGGAAGTGTCAAGGCACACAGCGCCGTGCCATGACAGGAAGGATGATGGACATGCCACGAGATATTGGAAACGCTGCTCCCATCCCTCCTTCAGCTAAGGACTCCCAGGGTGTGCCAGCGTTCTTCTCCTCTTCTCTCCTGTCCCCATCCAGCCCCTCTGAGAGCCTCTGCACCACCTTCCCATGCAATTCTCACATCGATTTCCAGCCTCTGTGATGCTGTCACAAACCCCTCTTAATGAAGTGGCCAGCAATCTCCCTGCCATTCAGCTCCCACTCCACGTGCTCTGCCAATGGCTTGGCTTTTCCAGGGGCTGTACTGTAGGTCTGAACCAGMCAATTACCCCCTTTGCCCCAAATAACCCAAAAACACTGAACTCGGATCCCACAGTAACAACTTTCCACTCGTACGAAACCAGCTCCTGGGTGAGAGCCAAGGAACCGGATCTGTTTTGGGCTTTAAATCGAAATGA